GAGAGAGAGAGAAAGGAGAAGGAAACTTGTATTTTAAATAAATCTGGAATCCGGTGTGCTATTTATACGTCCACGCTATGGTATACACCTTAGCGCGCGCCGCTTGTTTATTTTCCGTGTTGCGAGCACGTAACTTGCATCACTTCCGCCGCGTCTGCTCGATAGCGTAATCCGTGAACGATAATTAACACGCGCGCAGCGCCTTCCCTCGGCGCGCGTGTTTACCCCCGTGCTTTGTAATTCCCAATAAATATATATCCGTGTATCGCCCCCCTCCTCTCCAACCGAGTTGAATTCGTAACGCCGTTTCTTCGATTTAATTTGCTTTGCGCTCCAACGGTGATTCTCGAGGGCTCGGTTTGACGCGATAACTCGAGAGATGATTCTCCGGCACCGCTTGGATCGATGCCGCAATTCGAACGATATATACCTACGTTTGATTTTTTTAAAATATCGAATAGATTCTTAAGCTCTTCATATATATTATAAAATTTAGAATAATATATCGAATGGATAGATTTTTTTGTCTCAAATTAGACCAGGAATTTTTTTAGCCTGAAAGGAGTTTGACAGTCGTGGAAATAGAAATATTATTTTCAAAATTTTTGGGAATGGAATATGATAGTGAAATTCGAGTTTATTGATATTTATATGATTTTTCGTTTATTGAATAACGAAATTATTTCTATTCATTATGAGATTGACGATAGAAGGAAGGAAAATAAAAGGTGAAAAATAAGAACAATTAGACAGTGAATGTGAAAACACGTTATTGGGATTGTAACATTTGCTTCTCACAGCCAAATGACATTTTATCGCGACACTTGCCATGTCAAACCGAGGACCTTATCTTAAAATTGTTTTATTGTTAAAATATTGCGCGAAACGATATAAATATTTAATATAAATATAAATATTAATTATAAAATAATTAATATTCGACAAATTATTCTTTTTTATACGTAAAGATTCGTAAAATATTAAAATATAAAAGTTTTATACGTTAATTTACGCGTGAAATCGTTTTAAGTTAGCTAAGAAATTCACGAAACGAGAAACTTGTGTGGAGTTGGTTCGGCCGAGCAAAAAAAGCCTGGAGCGCAATAAAAACAGAAGAGGGCGAAGGTAGGTCAATAACACAGGCAACGCGATAGACAGAGAGCGCCGTTTGATTTTCGAGCCGCGCCACTTGTTCATAGGCCAACCAAACTTTTCCAAAAGTTCTCGCTTCGAGTTCTCCTCCACTCCTGACTCGAGTAATGCATTTCGAAAACTCGCGATCGGGCAAACACTCGTTCTCGAGTTCTTCATGATAACTGTGAAACGCGTGACGCAGAAATAACGAAAATTCTCGTTTCGAAATTCGGCGGAGTGAAGCAAGGAGTATCGTTTTTTTCCCCTCCTTCGTCTTTTACGATTTAACTTTCGCTCGATATATTCGATATATATATACATATATAGTGGGTAACGAATTATTCGAACGCCGCTTACATTTGCAATTTTGACGATCGAAATGTACACGTCGAAGAAACTCGTTTAAGACAATGAGATGTGTAGTAGGAGAGAAATCGATTCGAGATTATGTCAGCAAAATTTAAAAATGATTCATCGATTTATGCTGTAGTTATACATTTGTTATATACACGCGCTATTAATAGATTGCAAAAGATTGCAATAATATTCGAACGCTGTTGATAGTTGATAACTGATACGTTGTTGATAGTTTTTATACATTTTAGCCAGAAATGTAAACACTGGTACTAAGCGAGAGCGTTTTTACGATTAGTCGATGTCGAGCCATCGTTCCATTAACGTGAAAGTGTGTGGTATAATGTTCAAAATGAAAATGTGTGAAGCACAAAAGTGCGAACGAGAAACTATCCTTCGGTTGTATAAGGATGGGAAATATATAAGCGAGATAGGAAAAATTGTAAACAGAAGTAAGTCAGGTTCAGGTCGACCGAGAGAACTAACCGAAGGAGAGGGAAAAAAATTATTATTCGCGAATGTATACGTATATATGTATATCGTTCTCGGTTGGAGGAATTTCTAGTTTTCCTCGAGCGAGAGCAATAATATCGTGTGATACGATTGCGGACGATATCGAGGCATTGATCGTTCCTTCGATTATACACCGTTTAGAACGCGCACTTGCGTGTAATCGATTGGAAAGTGGATCGCCACTCGAGGTGATTAACTCGAGGGAAGATAGATAAAACGAGCGTGCGCGAGTTCCTTTTTTTTTTTTTTTTTTTTTTTTTTTTTTTTTTTTTTTTTTTTTTTTTTTTTTGTAAACAAATTTATATCGACGTATCCTCTCGAGCTTCTTATCCCCGCTTCCGTGGAAATTGTAAAAGTGCGGTATCGAGCGAGCCCTACGTATGAATAAATAAAAGTGTACCGTTCACCGTTTCCACTTCCCATTTCCACCCCCATCATTTATTCCGCTCTCCGGCTTTTTTCGAACGATCCTCCAACTACTTCTCTTCCCCTCCCCTCCCTCCATCGTTATGTAAACACGTCCACACGCGAAAATTACCCTCTCGTCTCGTTAAAAATTTGCACCAGCCTGGAAACTCGACCTCGCATTCGAGGAGATGAGCAAAAGTTGAAGTTGAAATGGGAAAAGGGATTGGAAAAAAGGGAGGATTGCTCGTTGTTATCGCGTCCCTTGTTCCTCGTTGCGCGTTTCGAGTGAAAATACTCGCTGTATTCTACTCGATGGATCGCAGTCTTTCCTTTTCGTTCGATCCCCATAAATCGCACACCGTTCGATCAACATCGTCCCCTCCACCCCTTGTTCGAGCAAACTAGAGGCCGCCTGTCGTTGATAAGCCACCTCTAATTTATTCGTCTCCTTCGCGGTCGTGTATTGAAACGGCCTCTTGAGGTAGAATTCGTTTTTTATTGCCTTCGAATATCATCGTATCCCTTCCTCTCTTTTAACCTCTGCTCCTGATCGCAAGAGGTGACGAACATAAAAAAGACGAAGCAAGCTCGAGTAGATTGGTTTTGAACCAATATTTGTATGGTTTCCAATGATCGGTCAATTTTCGCCATTTTCCTTTTTTCGAAATTAACCCTTCGCGCTCGACGATTTTTTTTTTTTTAATGAAGGGCAACTCGAGATGCTTTTGTTACAGTAAAATGATTTATAAGGAATATTCACGAATCGATGCTGCGCTCTTGTTAATTGGAGATTTAACGAGATCTAGCGTAATAAAGAGTTGAAATGCAGAGTTGATTCGAACGATAGGACTTAATTGGGCGAAATTATTTTTTTCCAAATTTTGAGTTTACCGCGCATATTGTAATAAATAAATTAAATAATAATAGAAATGCGTGTGTTATAAGATAAATTAGAATTAATATTAATATAATAATGGCTAGATTAAAGAATTTGTCCAGTGACGAGCGTTCGGTTGTGCTCGTACGTGTTATGTGATAAACAAAATTAATTTAAAAAAAAATAGAAAGTTTCTTCTGACAAATTGTTACATTTGTAAATTTCTAACACGAATTACTTGACTTTAATTTACAAAAAAAAAAAAAAAAATAAAAAACTTATCGATAATTTCTAATCATTTAAATTAAAATAAATGTTTAGAAATGTTATCAAATTGAAATTTAAACGCTTCTTAATAAATTTATCGATCATTATGTATCGATCAGTTCTCTGCCTCTAAATACGTATTTTTCTTTAATCTGTTAAACGTTTAAAAAAAGAGATATAAAATTTTAACGATATAAAAGTTTTAACGTATGCTTGTTACATCGAAACAATTATTTTTTTGAAAATGAATTTCGTCCACCATTGCTCGAATGTGCGCCACTCGCGCCTCTCGAGCACGAAGGGTTAATAGCAGCAGTCAAATTTCACTTCACTCGCGATTTACAATAATAAATTTCCACGAATGATCGAAGAAGAGGTAGAGAGAAAAAAAAAAGATGGCCGAATATGACGTAAGCATTCCGTCGATCGAACGGAATGGAGAGGAGAACGATCTCGAAGAAATTCCTTTCTCTCTCTCTCTCTCTTTCGCAAGACGAAAAAACGAATAAGGTAAAACGAAGCCTCTCGATACGATTCTCGGCTCGTAAAAAGTTGCGTGGAGCTTTTATTCCTGGTTGGACGACTCGGTTTTCTCGCCTTGCAAGGACTACCTGGCCATTATCGTATTATCTTTATCGCCTCTGTTCCCCCGATTGTCATTATCGTGATTATTATTTAAGGTCTGGTCGAAGGTACGGACAGGGCCGATCGAGGCGACACTCGTGCCCAGTGTTTTTCGCGAAAGGAAAATCTCGGCGAAATCGTAAAGAGGAGAAGATACGACCTTGCATTCCTTCTATATCTGCCCACGGACCCTACGCCCTCCTCCTCTCGTTTCTCCATCGTTTCTCGATCCTTGCACGCGGTGGGTGGAAATAGTGAGAGAGAGAGAGAGAGAGAGAGAGAAACCTTCCTTTTATCGCCGCGACGCGAAATCTCTTTTAATCGTGGCGCACGCCACGCAAATTTCCATTGGCAAATCTGCGAATTTATCATCGTTCGTGCACTATAAAAAAAAAAAAAAGAAAAATTTTTGCATCTTTCTTCGTTACCGCACAACACAGTCA